CTAGTATACTGGTGTTGAGAAATTTATATTTATGCTCACTTATTCAGGCTTCTATTGTTTTGAATCTGTTCCTTTGCCCTTTCAATATATTGGCCATTTCTGAAATCTTAGTATTAATCTTCTGGATTTCTAATTGCAGGTTTTGTATTATTTCAAATTTTGCATTTATTTTATCTTTGCTTGTTCTTGTAGTATTTTTCTGAATTCTTCTAAATTTTTTTCTTTACTTTTCTTGCTTTCCTCAATCTTTCTGTCAGCCCTTTGAGGATACCAAAATATCATTCTTTTGGATTTTTTTTTCAGTTAGTTTCATTACCTTTATTTCCTTAGAAATGTTTTATGGTTCTGCATTTTGGTCATTTGTTTGAGCCATTCTCATTTGTTTCTTTATGTGAGCTAAAACTGTGTGTTGTCTCCAGGATATTGTGGTGTTGTAGTATTTGTATTTAATTGATGACTGTCTGTTGATGTGTTCCTAGTTCTCACCAGCTGTCTTTTGTAGATGTAATTAAAGAATGGAATGTTGTACACCGTTCGTTCACCATTCATGCACCTTAGCTTAGGGTGGCTTTTACTGGTGTTGGCTGTTGTTGTTGATCAGGCAACATAGGAGCTGGTTTAGTGCTTGCCGAGTGAGTGGAGCTACAGAGGGTACAGTTGTAACTGAGCCGTATGGGTATGGTTGCTGTCTCCTATCAGGTGAGAAAGAGGAGAACACACACACACACACACACACACATAAGAAAGCAAAACAGTAAAAGTAAATAAGCAACCAACAATGAAAAGATAAAATTTAAAGGAGAAAAACAGGCAGCAACCAGAAAAAAAAGGAATATAATATTTTTTTTTTGGGGGGGGGGGAGGAAAATGGAGCTATAGAAGAAAAAAATAAGAAAATAAAACAAAGAAATATAAAAACACCTAGAAAACCCATGTAGAGAGAAGAGAAAGAGTGAAGAATAGTAAAGAAAAATTTTAAAAATGAAAGAAAAAAAGTGGGGTGGAAATGAGAAACAGAAGGAAAAAAAGAAAAACAAAAGCAGCGTTAGGATAAAATTCAAGGCAATAAAAAGGACGAGAAGAAAAAATAAACAAAAACAATGAAAGGGAAAAAATGAAAACAAAAACCCAGTGCAGCTGTTCAACCTGAAGAGGAGAAAACTCTGGGGGGTCCTGCCATCCCAGGAGCTCATGAGGTGGGTTCAGGAGGGATGTGACAGCAGTTCCTAGCCCTAGACAAGCTTCTGTAGGCCTGGGTGTTATCTATGTGCATGGCTTTCACCCCAGAAATAGTTCCTGGAGGCCCTTGATGGAGCCGTGTTCAGTGTCTATTAGAACACCAGGGCAGCTGGGAACAGGGTGACTGATTATGAGGGTTGTGCTAGACTAATGCTAGTCCAGTGGTTCTGCAGGTTTTGCAGGTCTGGAGCTGAGCCTTCCTGAATCGAGGCACTTGAGTGACACAGTCAGCCCGCAACTCACACCTCTTTGGCTTCCAACTACGTGGCTCCATACTCCTGGAGAGCAGTGGCTGAGGGTGGCAGTTGGAATCTGCTCTGCCAGGCCACTGTCTGTTGCCAGAGGTGCTCACAAGATGATCTCACTGCATCGCTGGCTGGCATTCACCAATGAATCTCCCTCTGTCACCCACCCTGTTCAGCTTCTGCTCCCAGCAAGCACTCAATCCACTTCTCTAACCTTTTCTCTGAAGTCAGGGTTCCAGGATTTCATTTGCATCTGTTTTATTTGATCTTTGTTGCAGAGGGTTCATGTAAAGCACCTGCCTGGTCTGCCATCTTGTTGGAAGTCCATCTGAATTACTTTTTAAATAATATTCAATACTTTCCATGCAACTCATCTCTTACTTAGATTAATGGCTTTATATTTTCTTATATGATTTTAATTTCTGTACTTAAATATAATCAATCCCATTTATTTGTAAAACAGAGAATATGTCAGCATATTGGGAAATATATTTGCTCCAGATTGCAGGATTGCAGTTATTACTTAAGTCTCCTGAGACTTTTAGTTTCTATTATTTTTTTCACATTTATTTTTATTTAGAAAGGATGCACCACAGGGTTGGTTTAAACCGCAAGGTTGGCATTTCAAACTCACCAGCCGCTCTTTGGAAACCTTGTACAGGGTTACTATGAGTCAGACCCAATTCAACAGCACTAGCAACAACAATAAAGTAATTATATATAATAGAAGTAAAATAAACATGAAAATCTAAACAAGTCAACGGAATATATATTTATTAACAGTACCTATAGCAATTAAAGAGTCCTGGTATGGCGCTGTAGGTTAATGTGCCAGACTGCAAAGCCATTTGAACTGCAAAGTCGGCGGTTCAAGCTCACCATCTGCTCCTTGGAAAACTCTATACAGGGTCGCTATGGGTTGGAACTGACTCAACGGCACTTCACAGCAGCAGCATAGCAATTGTAGGAGTCTTGGTGTGGTTCTGCAGAATAATGCACTGGACCACAAGGTTGGCTTGAATCTCAAGGTTAGTGGTTCAAACTCACCATCCACTCCTTGGAAATCCTATACAGGGTCACTATGAGTCAGAACTGACTTGATGACACTTGATAACAATAGCAATTATAATTGTGTTCTGTTTGCATAGAAAAATTCTTATTGTTAAGTACCATGGAAGTTTGACTCATAACAACCCTGTGAGGAACAACTGGTGGATTTGAACCGCTGACATTACAGCTCACACCAGCATTACAATAGAGTGCTTAGCCTACAGTTCTACACTAGGAAAAAATACGGGATCATCTAGAAAAAAATATAGGATCCTTGGTGGTGGTTATGTGCAGTGAAGTCAGTTCCAACTCTTTAGCGACCCTGTGTAGGGTTTCCAAGGCTGTGAATCTTTTATATGAGCTGAAAGTTTCAGTTTTCTACCATGGAACCACTGGTAGTTTCAGATTGCTCACCTTGAGACAAGCAGCTGACATGTAACCACGACACAACCAGAGCTCCTTATGGGATCATTACTGCCAGCATTGATACTTTGGCATAGGTTCTGAGAGTTAGGTCTTAATTTAGATTTTTTTTTTTTTTTTTTTTGCTTGTAGTATGCTGTGCTTGGTTTCCAAATGCACAAACTCTTTTTTGCAGTAACTTTTGTTAGAGTCTACCTTTTCTTCCATTATTAGAACATAATTTTATACTTTTACAACTGTGGACTTAACAATTCCTTGCCATTTTTTTAAGAACCAACAAGAACAAAAGATAGTATGCTAATCAGAGGGTCTTTCATTACACCCACATTCTACATATTTAGCCACATTCTCTTCCCATATTTGAAAGGGGATTTGGTAGCTATATGGGATGGTAAAGTATAAGTACCTCTGACGAGGTGAAGTTGGCCTTTCTTAGTGTTTTATGTGTTCATAGGCCTCGTTACCTATGAAGTATGCCAAGCCCGTCTTGCATTGGCTAACTTTCTATGCACTGAGAAACATTGTGCCACTCCGCTGTGCCTCTCCAGCCATTTAATTTTAGAAGCACCACCTTCATTCTTTCTGTCCCATTTCTAATAAATCTTATGTCTTCCTCAAGTGTTAAACAAGCGGGGGAAGTAAACATAATGAAGACACTGTCCCAGCTTGAATAAAACTGAAAGCATTAAACATGGGTCTATTTCATGATGAATATGTTGGTTTTGAATTACCTTTGAACATGTTTAGCTAATTTTTATAATTGAATATAAGAAAAAAAATTAGACTATTTACAGAATGATTATTCATTATTAAAGATTTTTTTTTATTTGGGATTATGCTTCACTTTGGGTTTTACTCTTTAACTGGGGAAATTTTTTATATAGTTTTGATAACTTTATAATCTCATCTAATTATGAAAAATATTTCAATTCCTTTTAAGTAAAAACCATTAAAATTGCCAGTTATACCTTAACATAATCCTCTTTATTAAACTTTAACTAGAATTTTTATTTTCCTTGGAAAAGCATTTTTATAGAAATTCATTATTAATTTTAAATGAAAATTTAGCATGAATTTAGTACTTACACATAACAAACATCTAGAGTAAGCTAGGCCACTTTAAAACCTGTATTTCAGTCTTGCTCCATTGATTTGAAACCTTCCAAGCTCATCATAATGAAAGTAAATAAAGAACATTGGTGCTCAGTGGTTAACACACAGCTGCTCACCTGTAACCAAAACGTCAGTAGTTCAAACACATTAGCTTCTCCATGGAAGAAAGATATGTAGTCGTATGTTTCTGTAAAGATTCTCACTACCACTGCCATCGAGTTGGTTCTGGCTCAGAGCAACCCTGTTTTGGGTTTCTGAGACAGTAAGTCTTTACGGAAGCAGCCTTATCTTTGTACCATGCAGTACTGGTGGTTAGCAGTCCACTGCTTACCCTACAGCACCACAAGCATTCCTTTCTATAAAGATTACAGTCTTGGAAACCTTTGGGGCAGTTGTAGTCTGTCCTATGAGGTCCTATGTGTCAGAATTGACTTCTAAGCAAAAATTACTTAAGTGAAAATACAGGACTCAGGGAAGGTCTAGGATTTATTTACCCCTTGAGAAATTGTTGTTTTGGTATTGTGTGAGCATTATTTAGAGTAGACAGGTAAATACAGTCCAGTCAGTCAACTTTGACTTAGAGTTATTCTGCCTCAATTAAATTTTTTCTGCTAAAAAGTACAATGACTTATTTTAGAAAAATTTGGAAAATACTAGAAAGTAGTAAAAAAAAATTAAACACTAGCATTCACACTACCCAGAGACAAATATGATAAGATTTTAGAGTATATAATTTGTTCCTCTCAATTTTGATTTTTCAGTGAAACTTAAAATGTAAATTTTGCAACTATTATATATTTTTGTTAAAATTAGATATTCAGATTTCGAACTTTCACAAGTTTAATTTTTACACATGAACTATATCATTTATTCTTTTAACCTTACTTTTTCCTAAGTCACTGACTTCACATTCTCACCATTCTTTTCTAGTTCCTGGCAGACATGGAAAATAATGCACTTTTTCGGGATGATATAGAATGTCAGAAACTCATTATGGAAGCAATGAAATACCATTTATTGCCAGAGAGACGGCCCATGTTGCAAAGTCCTCGGACAAAACCTAGGAAGTCAACTGTTGGTACATTATTTGCAGTTGGAGGAATGGACTCAACAAAAGGTACTGCAAGATTTTTTATTTGGGGGAAGAGAAAAAAGTAATCTTAATAATTAATATGTGTGATCAAAGGGCTCTTTGGAGAAATGGCTGGTTCCATGATTGGGACAGAGAAAGTACAAGATAAGCCTGGAACATCTTGTAATGATGGAAAGTCAGGAAGTGCTCAAAGAATGATGAAGATAAGCCAGAAGGAAACCGGAAATATCTGCGACAATATGACTATCAAATAAATAATGATGGTAAAAGATATCACTTGTTGAATCAGTACATTTCTCTGGGTGCATATACACTGATACAACTCAAAGGCATATCCTTCCTTATAGTAAAATACCAACTAATAAATGCAGGAGGAAAAATGGGATTACAAAACTCACCATTTGGTCTCAAGAGTATCTCCCCATCATGGGTTTATTAGTTACAAAGGGTAAAGTAGTATCTTTACAGTGGAGAAACCTGGCACACAGCATCTTAGCCAGATGAGCAAAGTTGCCAGTTATAAGACAGCCGCAGTGCCTCGGATATCATGCACTGAGAAGCACTCAGTAGCTCATAGGTGGTAACGTTACCCAAAGTATGCATCCTGAGAGAAAACAAATCCAGATTGAGGGACATTCTATAAGGTAACGTGTCTGTTCATAATCTTCAAAAATGTCAGTATCATGAAATACAAAAAAAAAATCAAAAAGTGTTCTGGGTAAAGGAGACTAAAGAGACATGGCAGCGAATTATAATGTATAGTTGTGGATTTTCTTTTGCTATAAGGAGCTCTGGTAGCATAGTGGTTATGAATTGGCCTGCGAACCACAAGGTCAGCAGTTTGAACTACCAGCTTTTCCACTGGAAAGAAGATGAGGCTTTCTGTTCCTGCAAAGATTTACAGCCTCGGAAACCCTGTACAGGGTCGCTGTGGGTCGGAACCAACTCCACAGCACATAGCCACCACCATAAGGACATAATTGGACATTTGATAAGATTCAAATAAATTCTGTGGCTTAGATAGCATTTTAACAGAATTATAAATGTTAAGTTACAGATTTTGATAATCATATGGCTTTGTAGAAGAATTTCTTGTTTTAGAAAACATAAAGAAAAGTATGTCAGGGCACAAGGACATTGTATCTGTAATTTTTGTTACTCTTAAATAGTTCTGAAAAATACACAGTTAACATCCAGGATACATTCTATGAACTAGGATATGTGATTTAGACATAATGTAAACACCATGTTAGATGCAGGCAGTTCATGTACAATTCATAGCTAAATGCTCATAAGTCCTATTGTATTAAAACCTTTTGGGATGGTCCACAATCACAGTGTTCTACATCCTACTTTAGTGAGTGCAACTATGACCTTACGAGCTCATAAGCTCTGCCTGTGCGGAGGAGAGAAGAGTGATGAAATTTAAAGATACATGGAAACAATTAGTCCAGTAGACTAATGGATCATGTGAACCTCAGTCTCTACCACCCTGAGACCAGAAGAGCTGGATGGTGCCTGGCTACCACATTAGAAGGTTCTGGATAGACTGGGAGAAAATGTGAAATAAAATTCAAAATTATTTTTTAAAGAAGACCAGGTTTATGGGTCAGTAAGAGACTGGAGGAACCGAGACTGTAGCCCTTGGTCATCCTTCAGGTCTGGAACTGAAGTCACCTCCATGGTTCAGTTTTCAGCCCAGCAATAAATACATAGTGGGGACAACATCAGTGAGGTGTGCACACTATAGAATGGTCAGCCATCCAAGATCAAAAGGGCAGCATTTCCCTAAGGACAAAGTTCAGAAGGGTTGAGAAAGGAGGAGGAATGGAAACAATCACAGGAAGAAGTGGCATGAGGGATGTTACATTGAGAGGATTGCAATCACTGAAATGAAACAAAGTATCATTTGTTGACTGTAAAACTGATGATCTGCTCTGTAAAACTTCACAATAAAAATTTTTTAAATGCAAACTTATGGGAGCCCACTGCATAAAACCTCAGAACTGTATGTACATAATACAGGAGGGTAGTGTTGCCAGATGTACTGCTGGGTCGGGCTAGGGACTGCACTGACAACCAGACCCTCACAGGGCGTTGTGTACATCTAGACCTTTGTGCATTCTGTGGCACAGGGCTGAAGGGTTAGAACACAGGGTGGGGACATGCAAAGGTGACCAAGGGTAGCAGGTTGAGACTGCTCCACCACAGCCGAGAGGCCTTCTCCAGTGCCACAGGCCCAGCTATGTCTGCCGGCATCAGAGGCAGGCATGGAGGAGCCTCTGCAGACACTGCCGTATGCTGGGAGTGAAAGGCTGCAAGGCTGCTGGGCAGTGAGTGGAGCCAGGAGGAGGTGCCGCAGAGATTTGGATCACCCTAGATCCCCACTGCCCATTCATTCTGGGGACTTGGGGCCATTAAAATCATTGTTGTTATTGTTAAGTGCCATCAAGTTGGTTCCAGCTCATAGCAACCCT